TCATATCGTCGGCGCTCTGGGCTGATGCCGATACTGCTACTCCCCAGACCTCTGTTGGGGTGCGTTCTGACCAGGATTTCGCGCCGAATCCAATCGCAGCGACGAAAGCACTTCTCAGGAGGCCAGAAGAGGATGAGAAAACTGCCAGCTGAAGGAATCCCAGGTCCCAAATATCATGCTTTTTCCATGACGTGACCCCCAGAAGTCTGGACCCCTTCCCAGGGACAGACTTTTGCTCCTGAGTCGTTTCCTGACGGCCCCGAGGGCCGGTGAGGTGCCCCTGGATGCCGAAAGCAGCAAAAATGAACGCCTGTCGTGATTTCTTTTGCGATGCGAGGCGGTCTGGAATCGTATCGGGACGATCGGAATGGGCACGGAAAGAAGGGGTACAATGCCCAACAGCAGTTCCTGCTCATTTTGAACAGGACTCGCTGTCCGCGCCGCCGCGGACGTTGCTCCCTGAAGACAAGAAGCCGCCTGCGCAACAGCGGCCGCTGGTGGTCTTGGACATTGCTTGTTGTTCGGCATCGTGCCCACTTTTGTCCGTACCCATCTCGAGCGCCTAGATCGTTTCGTTGGCCTTCTGGGGCCCGGCCCGCTCGCGCTCTTCCCTCGGCGGCCTCCGTCTGCGCAGGGTGTCGCCGGCGCCGACGTGGCAGCCGCCGGACGACCTGCAGGACGGCGGGTGCTGCCTCGGGGGGGCCCTTGGGGCGGCGACGACAAGGGCGAACAGCCCAGGGGCGGGCATTACACGCATTCGCCCGGGAGCCTTGTCGAAGACATAGATCATTGGCGCCCCTGAATGCATGTGATGTGTTGCTCTCCCCTGGGCTATTCGCCCCTATCGTCGCCTCTGACCCTTGGCGGCGGCGGAGGCGACCGCGGCGACGTCGACGGCGACGAGGGCGAGGACGGCGGTGGCGCTGAGGACGGCGGCGGCGACGACGGCGGCGGCGACAAGGACGAGGACGGCCCCTGAGATCCACGGTGGTGCAATCCTTTCATACCGGGCGTCTTCGCCTGGTGTCGGGCCGGCGCATAACGTGTCGATGTGGCTCGGAGGGCGCAGCAGAAAAGTTGATTCTGGCGCTGGGGCAGTGATTTTTTCTGCGATGCTTCTACTTTTCCGCAACGCTGGATCTCAGCGGCGGAAGCGACGACGGTGGCGGCACCGACGGCGGCGGCGATGGCGTCGGCGGCGGCGGAGGAGGCAGGCACGGCCACGAGGGGAAGGAGGGAGGAGAACGCACTTGCACAGGAGGAGGAGGAGGAGGAGGTGCAGGAACGGGGGGGAGGAAGACAAAGTGGAGAAGTGTTGGGAGGAAGGGGCCCAGGGTTTTGACGAGGAGGAGGAGGAGGAGGAGGAGGAGGAGGAGGAGGAGGAGGAGGAGGAGGAGGAGGAGGGGGAGGGGGAGGAGGAGGGGGAGGTGGGGAGGAAAGGAGGAGAGGAGGAGAGGACGAGGAATATGAGAGAGGGGGAGGAGGCGAGTTCGAGGAAGAGGCCGAGGAGGAACCCGAGAGGGAAGAAGGGAGCGGTGGAGGAGGCAGATTAGGAGGGCGTTGCCATCATCGGGTTGGAACATTTGTCCTCCTTCTCCCCCTCCTTTCCCTTTTCATCTTCGGTTCCCCCTCCCCCGCCTCCTCTTGAGGCGCTGAAGCGCTGACGGCACACCTCCTCCCCCTCGTCCTCCTTCCACTCCTCCTCCTCCTCCTCCTCCTCCTCCACCTCCTCCTTCTCTCCTCCTCCTCCCTCCGCCCCCCTCCTCCTCATCCTCCTCCTCCTCTCCTCCTCCTCCTCCTCCTCCTCCTCCTCCTCCCTCCTCCTCCTCCTCCTCCTCCCCCTCCGCCTCCGCCCGCCTCCGCCTCCTCCTCCTCCTCTCCGCCTCCTCTTCCTCCTCCTCCTCCTCCTCCTCCTCTTCCTCCTCCTCCTCCTCCTCCTCCTCCACTCCTGCTCCTTATAAAAATTGTCTCATTGTCGCACCCCGAGGCCATTTGTCAGGGCGGTCCGGGCGTTTTGCCTGAGACGTCCTCACCATTTGTGGCCCTGAAGCTTAAACACTGACAACCGTTTCACAAATGGAGGGCGGGCGGTTTTCAAAATGTGGCTCTCGCCTTAGCGCCGCGCACATTTGTTTAAACACGTTGCAAGAGCATCGCGGATTGAGGGCGGGTCGTTTTCAACATGTGGCTCTCGCCTCAGCGCCGCGCACATTCTTGTTAAAGCATTGCAAGAGATTCACGGATTGAGAGCAGTTCCTTTTCAAAATGTGGCTCTCGGTTGAGCACGCGCACATTCGTTTTAAACCTTGCAAGAGTTTCACATATTCCCATGATCAGCGTACGAGAAATTCCATGCTGGAAGGATTCAAGATTTTGAGGGCGCAATAGTTGTGTTGATTCGCGGTGTTGTATTCCCAAGGATGGCGTTCTGGTGCGATTCAGGATCGTCAAGACGCAACAGCCAAGTCGATCCGTGGCGTTGGAATCCCGAGAACGATGT